CTTTGAATCGAGAACAATGATACACGGCAGTGTCATTACCCTCGAAAAGAGAAGTGTTTTCGGGCGAACGCTCGGACCGGGGTATGCTCACCTCGATAAAAATTCAGTTCACCAGTGGAGAGGGTGATGAGAACGCAGCAGGGTAGCAGCAGCCATGTACAGGTGCAGAGGGTCGATGTCATCATCACCGTTTCAACTGGCAGGTGTCGGCCAGGTGTGGTATCCACAGGTTTTTATCGTCGTCCCGTCCGTCGTGGTTCCATACGTAAGCACGTCATTTCATTGAGGGCAGACAGAGAGTTTGCGCGGTCAAGTTCCGTTGCAATCAATACCACCATTACCCTTTCCACCGCAATATCGCCAGCGACGAAACCAGCACGATGCTTGCCCTTCTGCTGGCTCGTTTCCGTGTTCGATGCCCTGCGTCTGTCACTTTGAGCGACCTCAAGTTCTAACTATAAATGCTGCCCGTATCTGGAAATGACATTTGCAAACATAGAAACTACGTACTTCTGCGGAACGTGGTGCTCTTAGGAATTCTCTGATTTTCTATCGAATGTTTCAGGGAATTGCAACTACGACGATCTCACATCTTGATGGAAAATTTTATATAAATTTTTGCTCGGCAGAGATCAGTTCGACGAGCAAAGAATTCGAATCTTTCTCTTCCTTCGCTTTAAAAAGTATTTTAACTACTTCTTCGAAACGACTTCTTCTATGACACAGAAGCAAAATCGCTTAATACCTTTATCCGCTTACTTACGTTCGAACGCATGCAAAAGAGACAGCTCGGGAAAGCTAATAATATTAATACTTTGAGATTTACAGGGATAGAAATGTGGAAATACTTACAAAAAAAAAAAAAAAAAGAAAAAAACTACCAAGAGTGAAACTACAATCTTCTAAAAATAAGAATTCTTGATCCTTTTGAAATTTATTTCTTTTCCTGTGCTCGGACAATATTTCCTTTAATTACACGATTAATATCTTTCGCACTGTAAAAAGAAAGTTCGATGACGATGCTTCACAAGAGTTCTGGATCACTGCACCGTCAGTGCAGTACTGTTAATCACAACGACTGTTCAAGTATTAACATAGACTACATTGGCGATACATTTGCCACTGGTACTTTATTTTCTCCAGCTGTCGAAGTGTTCAAAGCATTCTGGATTATGCTCGAGAGAAAACAATATTATTACTTTCTATCAAAATAAACGAAACGAAAGATTATTTATTAAACGTATAATATATTGGAAGATAAAGGGGGGAAAAATTTTTAATAATTTATTAGAAATGTCAAAATACTTTATTTTAATTACATTGATGTTTATTTGTATGATGTATTTAACACTGCATTTTAAATTCGTATTCATATATGTGTGTGATGTATTTTCCACTGCATTTTAAATTTAAACTTATCGTGACAAACATCCCAAAATTCTCGAGAATTCGCGGCGTTTAATAGCAAGGGAACAAGCATATATGTAAATATTGTACAATAATTTTACAATACATTCACGAGATTTATACATTGTCCACATTTAATCTAACTCTAATATGTACTCAGAATCATTCTGATGTGCATATGTATATTTGTACTTAAACAACACTAATAAAACCAGTATTCTCAATATTTACACACAGAGATCGATTTAACATCCAAATTTTGCAAATCATTTATCATCTTACTCGAGTACATTTACGTGCCAAGATCGCAAATTAGGGATTCACCTTTAGAAAATGTACGTGATAGTTTCTTGTCCATCATTTTTTGCTTTCTCTTTCGATTGATCACACCGTCTGCTGCATCCATCATCCTCAAAATTTGCGTTTGATCAGAGCAATCAACTGGTGCAACAGATATATCTCTAACAGCTCTGAACTTGCCGCAATTATTCAGATGTTCGTTTTCCAAACGGAAGAAATTCCACATAAATCTCCTATTGGAAAGGAACAGCAATTATTTTGAAATCAAAATTGAACAAAAGCCTTTAATACATGACAATTCCCAGCGTAATAAAATGATAAATAAATATTAGCTCGAAAGCATAAATTAAACTATCGATTGATTTAACATGCTGAACATGCAAATTAATGTGCAATATATAAATAAGAAAGAAGGAATTCGTTTTATTATTGAGTGGAGTGTTTATCTGCATGAGAATGATCGTGTTTATAAACTAAAATATATGAAGATAAAAAATGCAATTACAAGATGATAATTTCAACGATCAGAGTATGTCGTCCTTTCATCATCGTTGTCGTTCGTACAATCCATAAGATGTATAGCCGCCTTTGGTTCATCGTATTTGTTGCCTTTGTAAGGCCCTATGGAGATATCCCGAACAGCTCGAAATTTGCCTACATTGTATAGGTGTTCGTTTTCCAGACGAAAATAATTCCACATGTACCTTCTATCAACTGATTAGTAAGACGAATTGATACAAAATATTTTTTATGATAAATAAAAACGTATATGCAATTACTAATGACGAAAAAATTATTTAAAAATTAAGAAAAAAAAGAAAGAAAAAAAATCAATTCAATTAATGAAATATATGATGGAATAGATAAAAGAGGGATAAAGATTAGAAACAAATAAAAATCTTTTGCAATTCATCCGTATTTATTAGATTAATTATTTAGTAAACATTATTTTTTTTAGCAAACGTTGCGTGACTGGAATATAAAATGATTTTAATTTTCATGCAAGCGAAAAATGTCATCAAGCTTCACTAAATATGAAATTACATAATGATGTGCAGTTCATACTATGAGATATTTCATAATATGAAGTTCATACATATTGGATGTGTAAATACAGCAAAAGTCACCATTTCTAAAAATGTATCACTATCGCTAGCGATATCAACTTACTTCTAACTTACCTGAACACTTCCAATGGTGCAACTATAGAAACCATTAAATCTGCGTGTACATATCCCATTTCAGTGAGAGACAACGAAAATGCCCAACCAAAACGGAGTATAAAATCTTCGATTATTGCGAAATAGTAATAGTACTGCAACATAATATAAATACCTTACATAAGATTACACTCTTACGCTATGTAGAACAACCAAACTTACTGGAGAGGAATAAACAATTTCTTCCCTAAGAAATTTATTTTCTCCTGCATTACTATCGAATAATCCCCAATCCAATTTTACATCCCACGTATACGTGAAGCAAGAACTCATGATACTTGCGATTATCCATAAATAAAAATAAGGATTTTCAGTAGACATTACGTAATATTCTGTAAAAAAGTATTGTGTTATGACTCCTTTATTATGTTCGTTATTCCTAGAGACACTTACTAGCATTAGTTAAATGTAAATATGAAAATACTACAACAAAGAAACTGGTAGCATATTTCGCTGCATTTACAAGATGAGGGAAGGCTTCTCTTGTGTCTCTGTACCGCCGTAGACATTGTGCAAATCGAAACCATGCTGGCAAACAAGCTACAAACGGTCTCATTGATAGTTCGCGCATTATACAAGTTTCTGCATCTACCAAAAAATGCATCAATTAGATAGTTGCTAACTTCTACTTTGAAATTACAGTTCACAATATCTAAATTACAAACCAGTGACATTAGTCCACGAAGAATTTTGTACATAAAAGCAAACAAAATATTGAAAATCTAAGAAAACAGTATGTAGAGAATTGAGTTGATCAGCAAGCCAGAAGTCAGCAAATCCGACATAGAAAAACGGAGCACAAAATATTCTACCTAAGACACGAAGTGCCCAAAATCTAGCTTCATAACGTAATGTTTTTGTCGGATTAAACAAAAATAAAGCTAATAATGTGTACAACAACATCTGAAAAAATAATATTTATATAATTTTTTTAAAAGTGCTATATGTTATAGAGACTTACAGGCTGAACAAATGGTGGTATTCCTAACGTTTCACTATATAAAAAACCCAAAATTGATAAAGACCAAACCAATCCAAATATGCTAGCCATTTCTACAATATGCTAAAAATGTATTATACATATCAATAACACATATATATAATAACACATATATATAATAAAATATACAACCTGTTCTGATAAATGATTTCGGGGATCTAATTCAAATATTAAAACATGATTTACACCAGAAGATCTCCATCCATATACATTAATTCCCATAAGAAAAAGGAACTGAATCATAAGAAGTGGTCCACGATATAATCTACATAAAACTCGCCAATTATTGTTGTCTCTATAACGTGTACCTATAAAATAAAACAATTATTAAAAATTTCTTTATATATATTGCATGGCATGTGTCTGGCTACCTGAAAGTATCACAGCTATAAGAAGAACGATGAAAGCCCCAGAGAAAAGTCCCACTTTAAATGTAATCCATGGAGAGAGATGTTCTCCAAGTGGAGGAACTCTTAAACGTTTCATAGCACGTTGTCTGTCTCCATGTTCTAAATCTCTTGTAACTAATGCTTCCGTTTCTGCAATAAGTCTGTCTATATCTTTGTGCGTGTGAAATAATGCAATATCCACATGTTCTGCTCTCCATTTTGCTCCAATATCTATGTTCAAAAGCTAAAATAACAATTTTTTGTTAATCATTATAAATGCAAATTCTTACACAAATTAATTATTTTTACCTACTTTATCGTGTTTTTTCAATATTTTTCTAAATCCAGTAAAATTAAGATTCTGATAATTTTGAAGTAAAATAAGAAAGAGATAAAATTCAGAAAAAGCTAATTTCAATTCTTGAAGTTTTCTTGCTGAAACTGGTTTTTTATGCAAAATATTGTTACGGTAACGGATTTTACGGCTTCCTTGCGCTTCTTCAGAAACTGATAGAATTTCACTTAGCTCATTATTAAGGGTTGCAAATCTACGTGTTGCTTCTGCCAATTTCTCTAACAAAGTAAAAAAGATTATTTCATTCATTAACATAAATCATAAGTAAATTAAGCAGTTACAGTAACATGTAAAATTTACCTGAATAAAATGTATTTATCTTTGCCAATTCCTTATCACAATAATGAAAAAATTGTTCATCAAATTTATTAAAATAACGTTCTAATACATGTGATTCTGTTATATCTGCAGCTGGTGCTTGCTCTACTGCTGCATAGAGCAATGCTTTCATTTCCTACAAAATAATTTTATTTTAATATGAATGTTTTGAAACGTTTAATATAATTATTAAATTATTAAATCGTTGTTGAATCAAAAATAATCCATTTTTACTTTTCTTACCTCGTAATTTATATATTGTTTTCTCCATTCTGGTGTAATATGAGCACTTAAATGCTCTGTGAATTTCATTTTTCTATGAATTAATTAACTCGATATTAATTGTAGAATTTGCAACTGATTGCACAAATATTATTTTGATTAACTCTCATCCGTCCCTCGTGTCCATTTGACACATTTTTCTTAAAAAATGTTATATTATTTTGCAGTGAGTACAGATACCAAAGTAAGATTTTGTAACACTTTTTCTAACACATAGCACATATTTTTGACATTTTTGATGACAGAACAGGCTATCAGAATTATAAATAATATTTGTTTTCAATATACTTGATGGGCAGTACATTATAATTATTATATTACAATTATGCATTCAAAGTACCAATTTCTTGAAGATATTCATAGGCATATTGCTTTGAATATAGTTGTAACAAGTGAAAATCCAAAACAAATGAAAGTAGAGCTTTACTTCGGGGCACTATTTTTTTTCAACTTCATTTTATAATCTAGTAGTAATCTAGTAGTCTTCAAAGTTTGGTACTTCTCACATACTACATCGTTTATTCAAATGTTTCAAAAACACACGTCTTATCACAGCTATGTTGTGATTGTGAAAATGGATACAATCTTATACATTAGAAATAGATCATTAAAATGTTACTTTTTCTTAATAGAAGCATTATTAACAAAAACTCTAAATTGCACAGCAACTTTTATATGTATACAATTTGTATATATTCCAAGTGTTAAGTTGATTAATTACGTCTCTGTTGTTCGTTTTCCATAGAAATAACTTTCGCAATTTTTCCAATTTACAATAGATACGGCAATTGGGTCCATGAACAAACTTTATTACAATCAAATAAAAATTGTCCTGGCCGTTTTCGGTATTCGTCTAGCAGTAGTACGTATAATAATAACAATATGCGGCAACGGTAGATTATAATATAATAAAAAGATTAATCTTATATAAAATTAAAAAAAATGAAATCACAATATAAAACTAAACACCTATACGAGAGAGTGGAATTTGTGTGAATCTTATACGCAATTGAATAGAAATTTGATCTATTGTTAATAAAAGAATACAATTATTTATCTTTTCATCATAAGTTAGTTTTTATTCATTTTGCAAATTTAACGTAAAAGAGCAGATTAAGTTGGAAAAATAAAGGACGGATGAAGACTACTTGTACATTAAAAAGAATAAACATACAAAATACACGATAGGTTAATGTATTTTGTATTTAATATATTTTTATTACCTTAATGTAGAATTTCTTTAAGGTTATGAAATGTACACTGCATCATACTGCAATGATACTCATATTTTGCATGTTCCGCCGAATTTTGAACGTTTATGATATTTTTGATGATTTTCGTTGAAACTTGCATGTCTTCATGTTACAAATATTTTTACGTATAATTCCTTCATTGACAGTGTCACATCCCAGATAAAACATCTGGCAATGTTCGAATGATATTAAAGAGAAAAGGAGGATCACGCCGAAAGGGAAATTTAAACGAGAAGAAAAGTTGCAAGTTACGTTCGTCTCAGGGTTACTAGCCGCCAACTAGACTCGTACTATTCGTACTCATCAACATTCATTGGTTTCATCACTCATTACAGTGAAGCTGATGGCGGCACAAATGCTTGAATAGAGAAATTCGGAGTAGGCATCGGAGCATCAACCTCTATCCTAGAGCGGATTGCGAGCAACACTAACCGGTGACAGCTTATTTGTAAGTCTACTTATAGAACTCCAAGTCGATGTTGCATGACGCACATTACGAGAACGCAGCAAATGCTGCTAGCATTGTAACAGCATTGCATATAGCGCGACTTAATTAGCCAATCGCGAGCATTTGATACAACTACCGCGCCATCTTGTGTTTTTTTCGTGAATTATCGACGTACGTCTTAGCGATTAGACTAGAGCGTATATACGTGCATAGTTTTATCTAATCTCTTTTTGTTGTTAACAAAAACTTTAGTTTAATATTAATTATTCTTAACAGAAACAATAGTTTAATATTATCGCTACAAAACAATATTATGAAATAAGATTTATCATGTCAACGGGGAAACTTACTTTTTCTAGATATAGACAAATGCGATTGGTAAATAAGAATTATATTAATTGTATTAATACTATTCTGATTAAACTTCAAGAAATCAAAAATTATTTATCTTCTTTTTGATAAGCTGAGACCAAAAGTATAAGTTTTAAAGAAATCATGTTTTAAAAATAGTATTTAGATAAAAATTTAAATGAATCACCAAGACAAAACTGAAATATTTTCAAAATTATTGGTTATATAGAAAAATGTTTCACGCAAAATTTGGATGGTTTCTAGGGGGTATTTTTTTGAATGGATGTTGTAAGTAAGTAAAGGATATTTGAAAGTCACGCTTTTTTTTTTTAAATGGAATCAATTTTTAAAATGATTACTTTTATATAACTCTAATTTTTGAACCAATGAATTCCTTGTCTTAAAATTTACATTTTTGATCTCATGAAAATCTATTAGATTATGATTTTAAAAAAAGTGAATAATTTTTGGTTCTTTAAAGTAAAGTTCAACTTCTTATGAGAATATTGACTGACAATTAATTTAATATAGAAGCATAAATTTAAATATTATTTTTATTTTATTAGTACTCAACAAAAGAAAAGATGAAAGTTATAAATGATGTTAATGAATTACTTTCAAGTAAAAATATTAAACATAAGGAACATCCAGGTATAATGAAACCTAGGCTTGTAGATCAACCTAGTTGGCTTCAAGACACAATTCTAAAAGTTTTATCTGGTAATGAGAAATATGTTTTATATTATCACAGTATAAGATTTTATATATTTCAAATAACAAATATTTTTATATCTTTGCAGAGAAAAATATTTCACTAAAAGTCATATATAATTGCAGTCAAAGACTAGCAAATTACTTACATAGTCGATATCCTCCACCAGAAAAAGAAGATATTCGTTTAAAAATGGAAGAAGTTAAAAAAAAACTATATGGAAATGAAACGCTGAATTTAAATAATAATTTGATATTTGAAAATCCAAATGCTCAAAGACTTCTCAAATCTTTGGTATATAATTGGGCACCAATCCAATATGATACATACACAAGTCTAGCGTATTTAACAAGTAGAAGTATGCCTGAATATTCTGCTTTATATAAAATTTTTAATGAAATTGTTAATCGTGATAAAGACTTCAGCCCACAAACATTATTTGATTTTGGTTCAGGTACTGGAACAGTTATGTGGTAAGACACATAAAAATTATTTGTCTTTGTTTAAAAACAATGTAAAAGGAATGTAATAAACCTAATTTCGTTAGGGCAGCCTCACAATTCTGGATAGATACAATTAAGGAATATTATTGTGTTGATATTTCTAAAGATATGAATGAATTGTCTGAATATCTCATAAAAAGAGCTGTACCAAATATTAAACAAAAGTACATTTTCTATAGACAATTTTTTCCTGCATCTCCAATTGTAAGGATACACATAACTTACATTATGTTAAAATGTTTAAAATAGAGATTAAACATGTTATAATATATTACAGCCAACTTATGATATTGTGGTTAGTGCATATTCTTTACTGGAATTACCAAACCAAATCTCTCGTCTTGAAACAATTTTAAAATTATGGCAAAAAACAGAACAGTATTTAATTATTATAGAACAAGGGACAAATGCTGGATTTAGAGTAAGCAATATATATTGTTGAAAGTTATTTAATTTTAAATATATTTAACTAATAATTTTGTTTTAAATAGGTGATTAATGAAGCTCGAGATTTCATACTTTATTCTAAAAAAGCATGCAATGCACATGTATTTTCTCCTGTAAGTATCACCTGTAATCATTATATTATTATATAGCAAACATTAATTTATTATAATATATTAATATATTTACGATTTTAGTGTCCTCATGATAAAACGTGTCCTATACATATACAAAATGATCGTCCTTGTAATTTTGAAATTGCTTATTTGACGTTATTTATTAGTGAAAAATCTAAATATAAACGTGAGAATTATTCGTACGTGGTATTCAAAAAAGGTAATTATATATAATGCTAATTATATATAATGAAAGTAATCTGAAAAAAAGCAAATTCTTTGCTAGTATTTATTTTTTAAAAATATATAATTTTAGGTAAACGCCCTGAAGATGATTTAAAATGGCCGCGAATTGTGAGAGATGTATTAAAACGTTCTAGACATTGTATATGTCGCATGTGTACATCTTCCGGAAAATTAGAGGAACAAATTTTTACCACATGGAAAAGTGGAAAGTTTGTATCTTCTAAGTTTTAAAAAATATATTATAAAAAAGTTTCAGTGATATTAATGCAACATTCTACATTTTTAGAAATACATATCGTTGTGCAAGGAATAGCAAATTAGGTGATCGTCTGCCTTTTGAAATTGAAAAAGTAAAAGAAGAAGATGAAACAATGGAACAGAAAGAAACAAAGGAAGAGGAAGAATTTAAATGAAAGGCTCAGAACAGGTTCAAAACAAAGAATGTTAATTTTGATAAATTTTGAATTCCAAATTTTTTCGCTTGCTATGTATGTGTATAGCGAATTAAAATTTAAAGTTTTAGATTTATGTTATTACATGTAAAAATAAATATTCGATTGTATTTATTTAAATCTTTTCATTTGATACCCTTTTTATCCTTTGTAGAAAACTTTGCTTTTAAATATTAATTTCTGTAATATGCATAATATACATAACATAATAATTGTGATGAACTGTCTGGATTGTCACATCTTACCACTGTTATTCAACAGTTGTCCGCGAAATGAAGGGTGGAAACGAAGAGAGGTATTTAAAAGCCGTTTGCAGACTGGACCACGCCAGTTTTACTTACACAACAGAAGAGTAAATATCTCCAGATATAAGGTAAGGTTCAATAATTAAAATAAAGTTATTAAGAAAAATATTGTTTTGACGAAAACTGTAATTGAAAATTTTATATTATATTTTATGAGGTATCATTTTTTATATTTTTAAAATATATTTTGAAAATTATAAAATAATTTATTATTCATATATTTTCACTATATTTCCTTTATAATTCATTCAGAAAATATTATTTGTTTATTGAAAAAGACTTGCTGACAAAGAAGACAGTTATATAGAAAATTTTACAACAAATTATCATATGTTTCATAAAATATTCAAAAAATAAAGATGAACATAACAGAAATAAAAAGAAAGTAAAAACTCCAATCGATTGCCATAATATTGTTGATCGTATTGTAAATATTAGATCCATATTTGAAAACAGAGTTAGAGAATATCAACAAAGATAACACGTTTGAAAAAAAGGGTAAAAACATTAATTTTAATTAATATTTATAGGTACATCGATTACGCAAGAAGTTATGAAATAATGAAAGTGAGAGCATGCTTTGATCTTTCCGTATGTAACTTTCTCCCATAAGTCTGCTTATTTCACTTGCTTTCTTAAAAGCGCGACGCAAGCCAACGTTTCAAAATCATCGAAACCGGATGAGAGGTGAGAGTCAAATTATTCTTCATCTTGTTGATCTTCACTTTCTCATACCAAAGCTGTTAAAAATGTATTTCTAAAAGTTTTCCTTTATAAGGGAATATATATTTCCTGTATCGGGATAAATAAATATTTTAAATAAATATTTTATTAACAATATTATGTAAAAAAATAAGCTCATTTTACAATAAAGGTAAGGCAAGTATAATAGTATTTATTATGTTTGCAGTATGTTCTCCACGGTGGTATTATGTATAATATTACTATTGCTGCTACTATATCTAGGATCGCGGAAACCGAAAGGATATCCTCCAGGTGTTACTTATATCCTCTAATTTATATTCATCTTTCCTTGTTATTGCTTATTATTTTTTTGAAATATTAACTTTATTAATTAATTAATAAATAAATATAATATAAAAATACGGTTGGTGTTTATTTAATTTCTAAGAGTTTCAGGTCCAAAGTGGTGGCCAATTTTGGGCTGTGCTATCGAATTGGCTCGTCTTCGCAAGGAAACCGGTTATATGTTCAGGACTTGTTCCGCTTTGTGTAAGAAATATGGACCAGTAGTCGGTCTAAAAGTCGGTACAGACCGTATCGTTGTTCTAAATGATCACGAGAGTATTCGAACAATGCTTACTAACGAAGATTGCGATGGAAGACCAGTTGGCCTCCTCTATGATGCGCGAACTTTCGGCTCTAGGAAAGGTAATTTCACGATCTTCGTCGAGTTTTCATCTATTAATTATCTAATTAAAGTTTCGCTTCAAACGTTTAATCTTTTCTGATTGAAGGACTGGTCCTTGTGGATGGGAATTTATGGCTCGAGCAAAGGAAATTCGTATTAAGACATCTTCGTGACTTCGGCTTCGGCCGGCAAGACATGATGATGACAATACAAGAAGAGAGCCGATCGCTTGTCGAGCACATAAAAAAATTAATCAACGACGAACGCAATAATCGAATTAATGAATCTAAAATACATTGCAACAATAACGAGTACGACGACGGACAAATATATAGATTAATTAAAGGAGACAAAGCAAATGGATTAGAATTAATGGACAAGTACGGGAAAAGTGAAAAACAACTGAAACCTTCGGATTTGTATGTGGATACTGATGAATACGTGCAAATCAATGAGATCAACGCTCATCCTGGAACGATAATTCCAATGCACAACGCCTTTGGAATTACAGTACTCAATACATTGTGGAGAATGATAGCTGGTAAAAGGTTGTTCATTCTCTACTTACTTCGGAGTATCATCTTATTTGATACTTGAAATTTCGCTCTGAACTCATTGAAAGAACAAGTAACTCCTCAGTAACGAAATTTATATTCGACATATCTAATTTAGGTTCGATATCGACGATGAGAAGCCGATTTATCTGCAAGAGATTCTGACGCAAGTTTTAACGGAAATCGATATGTTAGGCGCCCCGTTTGGTCATTTCCCGCTGTTAAGATTTATCGCGCCAGAAATATCCGGTTACAAATCATTCGTGAAGATTCACCAACAACTTTGGGATTATTTAAAGGTAAATAAACAAATTACAATATGAATACTAAATATCAATTACAGAAGAGACTAAGTAATATAATTACAGGATGAATTGGACAATCATAAGACTACCTTTGCACCAGGCTCGCCGCGAGATTTAATGGACGTATATTTAACCGTTTTGAACTCTAAAGATTATAGTAACACATTTTCAGGTACTTAAATATTACAATTTCAATGTAAGATTCAGCTTAAATCGATTGTAATTACACCGAATCTGTTTTCAGAATCTCAACTGCTTGCTATTTGTATGGATTTATTTATGGCAGGTTCAGAAACTACATCTAAAGCTCTTAGCTTTTGTTTCTTATATTTGGTGCTGTTCCCAAAAGTACAGAGAAAAGCACAGGAAGAGATAGACACAATAATTGGACGTAACAGACTTCCGACCTTGGACGACAGAACGAGGTAAAATTCAAAAAGATAATCAGAATTCGATTTTAAAATTATTAGAAAGTTTTTCTTAAATTTCTGATTAACCGACAATTTTATATATATATATATAT